TTCATACTATCAAAGTAATCCCATGACTCAACTATTGACACCTTGAATGCCACCCATGTTCACATCATCCTCACCTAAAAACAACCACAAACATACGGTGAGAAAAGAAAATATTTATATAGAAAGCACATCATGAAATTCCACAAAACAATCTCAAAGTAATATAATCCATAAACACACAGATTCCATCATCTCATCACAATCCACATATTTCATCATCTCATCACAATTCACATATGTACGTATAAAAAAATTGCACATACACGCCGTGTCACACATCCAGCACCAAATGACGTACACGCCCCTACTGACGCATCACACGTCCAACATCGTGTCATGCACCCGACTATGCTAATGCATTCCACTACTGGCACCGATATCATGCATACGACTTTACCTGACGCATCACACATCTAGTACCGTATCACGCATACGACCATGTCCCCAACAACACATAAATACCAGCGTATCATGTGCATGCCCTTACGGCCTGGTGTCTTATTCGTAGTATTAGTAAAAAAATTCGGGGTGTTACAATAGCTAAGTTGCGCAAGCTACATCCCATGCTCACAAGGGCAGGATTGAAACTTCTAAACTGAGTCATCCCCAAGGTTGGCTCCTAAGCTTCTACACAAAAGACCTTTCTTGGCAGTGTATTTCATTACCATTAAAAAAAATACTTTCATGCACATGATACATGTCAAACAAACTCTATGCATAACATTTCGCGTGATCTCATTAATTCATATCCAATTAATCTCATATCATAAAATCATCAACCATTTTCAATATAGGAATTAACAATTCAACTATATCAATTAAGTATTAACAATCAATGGCATAAGGGATCTCATAACCAGAACTCATACATAGCTAACAAACATATCAATAGCACATTCACATACTACATTTTCATAACTTAATCTTCTACAATATTGTAGGGTCCAAACACCTTAGCTAGAGCTATATATATGCTATTAAGTTGATCTTAATTTTATTAAAATGATAAGACAATTATCTCCAACTTCTATGTTGATCTTATGAGCTAAATATGTCATCTACTATTTTAAATAAAATATAAAACCAAAACATTTCAGCCTAAATCTAATAGTCTGACCTTTACTCACTAATTTGATCATAACTTGAGTTCTAGACCTTTTTTTAGGTGATTTTAACGGTATTTGAAATCTAACATCTAAGTCTACAACTTTAATGAAGATCATGAAACCTAATTTTTCCATTTAAGTCTACTCGAAAAGCTTACAACATACGCACATTACATTTTACACACAGAATATGAGGTTTGTCTTTTAACTCTCAAAACTTGATCATTCCTTAAAATTTTTATGTGATTCTTAAGTCTAAATTATAGCTCTAAATATCTACTTTCTAACCCAAGTGAGTCAAGGCTGAGAATATTTGAATGTTCATGATGAATTCTTGCTTATGTGAGGTCAATAACTAACCTTACCACTAATGCAAGTGAAAGAAAAAAGCTCTAAGGAATTTTACACAACTCACTTCAAGTGGGTCACACTACTCGCTTAAGTGAGAACACCCCAAGAGTCACTTGAAATGATTTTGTTGGCTTGCTTAAGTGAGTCATCTTGATTGCTTAACTAAGTCATCTTAATTGCTTAAGCGAGTTTCAACCAGCCAATAATGAAGACATATAAAAAGGTCTGCAAATTAGAAATAGAAATAATAATTTCATAGGGAGGAAAAAGTAAGGTTTTTAGAGGAAGGAAAACCAAAGTGGAAGCCATCACGATGGATCCCTCAAAAATATTTTACAACTTTTACGTGATTTTAAGTTATCCATGAGCAGCTAACCACTTTATGATGGGAATCAACATAGCTACTCGATTCCATGTAATTATTTTAATCATTCAATAAAAGTTTTTATTTAATTAATTGTTCTTCTTCTACACTTAATGCTTGTCGTAGTTTGATATTTCATGATTCTATAGAATTATTTGAGGTTACAAAACATTTTTAAAACTACAATATGGATAAGAACACTAACAATGCTTATTACACTACAACAAAAATTGTTTTTAACGACAATTGTTTAATGACAATAATTTAATTGCCGTTATTTAATTATATAATAAAAATATTAATGGCTAATATATAATAGCCACTAAAAGTGTATTTATATTACACTAAAGTTTACGATTAGCGACAATTATTTATTTAAAAAAACTAGTCCCACATCGATTAGAGATAAGATAATTAAATAGTATATAAGTGAGTAATAACTATCACCTTATAAGTTAATTTATAGGGTTGAGTTAGACTCTTAATTCACTATAATAAATTAGTATCAAATCACCCACTATTACCAAAATTAAAAAAATAAATTAAAAAATATATAAATAGAAGACAACCCTCATCTTACAAAAGTCACTAAATGGATAGAAAGGAGACAATTGAAAAAATAACTTTTAATAGCCTTTAAAATGGCTACTAAAATTGCCACTAAAAAAATAAGTTTTCCCGAAAATTTAGTAGGTCTTTACCAGCATTTTATATAAATGCCGGTAATAGTATTAGCGACACTAGATACACCAACCATTATTTAAATGCTGGTAAAAAAAATAATGACCATTTATATGATCGCTAAAGAATAAATTAATTGCCACAAAAACCTAATTTTGGTGTAGTGTTACTAGGAATAATTTAAAAATTATTAGTCAATGTTTAAAACCTTTTTTCTTAATGCAAGTTGCTTAATTAACTTTAATAGAATTAAGTTTTTATTTAAGGGACTTATAATTTCTCACTTAAAGAATAGAGGTATTTAATCCCAAACAAAATAAGAGATTAGGGTAAAATATTTTTATTGGATAATACCTTTATTAGTTGTTCAATTAACAAAATATTTTTACTATTTAATACCTTTATTGGTTGTTGAATTTCTCGCTTGAAGTTAATTAATACTTTTTTTAGTTGTTGAAATAATAAAATAATTGCTAAAATTGAATGATTAGGTGGATACGTGAGAGGTAGGTCATGTTATCTCTTTGATCTAATTTGAGAATTTTCCTCTTATTTTAATAAATGAATTTTATAGTAATGTAGTATAATTTCCTCTACAACAAAAGTTTTTCTTTTTTTTTCATTATCTTTCCTTATTTTTTTTTTAATTTCTTATTTTAGTCAAGAGTTATTATTTAATTACTTTGGTTACCAACAAATCACTAAAATCAATTTCTTCCTTTCTTTATCATTAGTTGCAATCCATGTTTAATATGTTTTCTTTAACTAAAAACAGTCATTTTTTATTTTATGCGTTGTAAACTTAAATCTTATATTTTCCTAATTAGTATCAAATTATAATAATTAATCATTGCGTAAGTAACTAAGAATTTGATACTTTTTGTCCATTTATTGCTAAGGAGAATTAACAGTCACATTTTAAAATATTGAACATTCAAAAAAGAGAGTTATGAATAATTAATAATGGTTGTTATTTATAACTATTTATATTTCATTTTAATACTAATTAATAACTTGTAACTATTCCATTATAGTAAGTATCGACCCATCTCTGGAAAGATGAATACAATAGAACTCCCCATTCTATACGGTACATTGTTCTCTATTTTCTATCTTATCTACTAGATTCCTATATTTTTATGTTAATTTTCGTAACATTTCACAATTAATACAATTGAGTACAATTAATTAGTTTAATAAAAGACAATTATTTCTAAATCAACAATTAAATGACCAGAAATTAATAATTGCTATATGTAATTTATTAATTATTTATTTTAACAACCATAATGAAAAATGTGTTTAATAATGTGTATTAGAATATATATATATATATATATATATATATATATATATATATTTGCAAGTATTTAAATACTTATAAAATATGATAAAAAAATATAAACTAAAAGAAATTAAAACTTTAGTTTGTTAATAATGAAAATATAAACCTAAAATATGAAAGATGCGGTTAATTAAAACTTTTAATTTCGAATATTCTATATAAATTTTAATTGATAAAAATATTTATTATGATTAGAATTGTTCCAATAGTAAATTCATTGACGTAGTTGGAGTTGGAGTTAGCGTGTTTGATTTATTATCTATTTTGATATTTATTGGACCGTGACAATTTTTTCCTTAAAAACATATCAATAAATTAAGCAATATGATATTTTTAAATATATCGAAATAAAATTCTTAATCGAGATTAAAAGACAAGAATATTTAAACAAGAGAGTGATATAATCAAAATAAGAATATTTAAATTTATTTTATTTTTTATTGTTTGTCTACAGAAAATTAAAACATTTTATTTGAATATGCAATTAAAACATCTTTAAAACAAGAGAAAATTAGTTGCTTACAACAATTTGCCTAAATTAAAGGTAATGTGGTGAGTTTACCTTAACATAATTAAGTCAATTAAATGCAATTAACTCCTTTAAATAGTAGACGTAATTAGCACATAAAAACTAATTGAATGACCATTAATTTGTTCACTTTAATATCTAATTTTCTGATTAATGAATCTGAGTATCAAAATGAATATATAAATTGTGTTTAATATTGTATATTAGAAGAGTTTTTCTTAATATTTGAAAAGACAGATAAATATGAAACAATGATATTTAGAAAGTATTTAAAATTTTAGTTTATAAAAAATAAAAATAAAAATTAACATATAGATAAGCAGTCCTTCAAATATTTTAATTAACAAAGTTTAATGTTAATTTTAATTGATTAAAAAATTAATTGTAATTTGAATACGTATCCTTATATTTAATGTTAATCGACTAATAATAAATTTATCCTAAATTTAAAAGATTAAAAATATATTTAAGGTTAAAATTATAATTAAATTTTAATTTTTTGTTACACTTTAATTAATTTTTATCTTTACGTGTGTTTGTGTCTTCATCGTAAAAATGAAATCCTTTCTGGAAAGTATAAATAACAAGCAACAAGCAGCAACCGAAATCCTGTCTTTAACTATGATCAATCATCTTACTGTCATGGATTCTAAAATACTTTATTTATTGACTCTTATCATGCCCTTTTTCCTTCTCATCATTGTAACACTGAAAATAAGGAGGAATGTTAAGAAAACCGAGTCACCTCCAAACATACCAGGACCATGGAAGCTACCTATTGTAGGAAATATACCTCATCTAGTTACATCAACACCACATAGAAAACTAAGAGATTTGGCCAAAATATATGGACCATTAATGCATCTGCAACTTGGGGAGATCTTCGCAATCATAGTTTCTTCTGCAGAATATGCTGAGGAGATAATGAAAACCCATGATTTGAACTTTTCGTCAAGGCCCCGCATGCTACTTACAGATATAGCATCTTATGGTTACACAAATATTGCTTTTTCACCTTATGGAAATTATTGGAGACAGGTACGAAAAATATGCACAGTAAAGTTTTTGTCCCAAAAACGTGTCAACTCATTTCAACCACTAAGAGAAGAAGAGTTCATCAATCTTGTTAAGACAGTTGCTTCACATAATGGGACCCCCGTCAACTTCACAGAAACTGTATCTTCATCAATATATAATATCATATCAAGAACTACGTTTGGCACAAAATGCAAAGACCAAGAAGAACTCATATTGTTTTTAAAAGAAGCAGTGCCAGTTGCAGCAGGATTGACCATAGGAGATTTGTTTCCTTCTGCTAAATGTCTTCAATTTGTTACTGGTTTAAGGCCAAAGATTTGGAGGCTGCAACGAGGAATTGAACGGATACTCGAAAACATCATCAATGAACACAAAGAAGCTAAGTCAAAAGCCAAAGAAGAGCATGAAGATTTGGTAGATATCCTCCTAAAATTCCACGATGGTAATGATAATAACCAGGACATTTTCTTAACTGTTAACAATATCAAGGCTATTATACAGGTAAGTTATGAATTAATCCTTTCCTTTATGAAGATAATCTCGTTACTTTCTATAGAACTTAGACAATTCTTTAATACTACTTACACCACAACATCTCACACATCTACTCTTCAAAATTATGAAATATGTGGTCTTTTCCGTGTTGTGTTATTGTATGGCTTATGCATATACTTTTTTATTTTGACTCCTCCAAAGAGAGGAGTGTGTTACAATATTAGTACAAAGTTATAGCTACTAATGGGAAAATCAATTGCTTAGATATTTTATCAAGTTCATAGTTTGTTATACACGTGTTTATGATTTTAAATAGAGAAATTCTATGGTACCCATCTTATTTGAGAGGGTACCGGTACAGTTTTTTATATTTTATATTTTTAGTAATTTATTTAAATAATATTTATAATATTTTATCCTTTCAATTTTTAAATTATTTAGTCATTTTATTTTTATTTTATATATTCTAATTTATTTGTAATAATATTATTATATATTTAAATAGTTTAATTTTAATAATTTTTTAAGTATATTTTTATCTTTTCACTTAAAATTTTTGAATTTTTATATTTTAATTTTAATAATTTTTTAAGTATATTTTTTGTCTTTTTGTCTTAAATTTTTGAATTTCTATATTGTAATTTTAATAACTTTTTATTTCTACTATTTATTAATTTTTTCTTTTTCTTTAATATTTTATAATATTATTGAAAACTTATAATTTTAATCTCTATAATTTTATCTTACTTTTTATTTTATAAGTATAATTTAAATTATTTATTTTATAATTAAATTAATTTTTTTAAAAAAATTTTATGAATTTACATAGAAAAATGTATTGAAACCCTTCCATCTTTGAGGGTACCGTAGCAACTCCCTTTTAAATAATCTAAACAGTTGATCTTCCAATCAACAGTTGTTACGATACTTCATACTCTAAAGTAACTCTCACTTTAATTAGAAAAGTAAAATCCATAACTAAAACTCACTGGTCAATACTTTGCAGGATATCTTTGGCGCTGGAGGTGAAACGTCATCAAATGCCATAAATTGGGCAATGGTAGAGATGGTAAAGGATCCAAAAGTAATGAAGAAAGCACAAGTTGAAGTGAGAAAGGTATTCGATAGAAAAGGAAGGGTAGATGAAAGTTGCATTGATGAGCTCAAATATTTGAAATCAATTGTCATGGAGACCTTAAGGTTACATCCCCCAGCTCCTCTTTTACTTCCAAGAGAAAATGGACAAGCATGTGAGATACGTGGGTATCATGTACCAGTCAAAAGTAAGGTAATTATCAATGCATGGGCAATTGGAAGAGATCCAAACTATTGGATTGAACCAGAAAAATTTTATCCAGAGAGATTTATTGATAGGTCTATGGACTACAAAGGGAGTAATTTTGAATACATTCCATTTGGTGCTGGAAGAAGAATATGCCCAGGCATCACCTTTGCTTCAGTAAATATTGAACTGGCCCTTGCCTTCTTGTTGTATCATTTTGATTGGAAGCTTCCAAATGGAATGGAAAGTGAGGACTTGGACATGACTGAGGAATTTGGAGCAGCTGTCAGAAGAAAGGATGACCTATACTTGATACCCATCACTTCTCGTCCTTTACTGGTATGATAAACTCATAAACCATAAAAAGAAAAGACTGTCACCTTTGAATTTGTTATTTACCATTAACTACCGAAAGAATTTTTGTATCCATGTTATTTTAGTAGAACTGAAGATTCTATAATGCATTAAAGTCTTTGATAATTATATATAGAAGTTCTGTCTAACAAGGGAAATTTAGTTGCAACAAATTACCATGTAGCACTAAGCTGAAATGCGGCACCGATCAGTTCATAATATTTATATAAATAAAAAAGTGGCAACATTCCCCATGTTTTTATTGATCGATAATGGAAAACTGACAATTAGTGTATTTCTGTTTGACATACCACAAGTTATTTTTTGTATGCCTCTCTTCAAATTTCTCCTACAAAGAAATTACATCCCATCTATCATCTGCTTCATCTCAAACCACTGATCAATGCCCATTTAGCTGATAATTTGTTCTTCGAATTGATGTTTGATTCAAATTCATGCTTGAATATATTGTTGGGGAAAAGTCCTCTCTACACACAATGAAGATCAGAGTATAGAAGTCTACATACAAATAACAATACAAATATAAAATAACAAAGACATAAACTTTAACATATTTTTCAACACTTCTTGCCTATATTTATCAGAAGATTTCAACAAATATATTCATCTAAATTTAGTATTTTTTAATAAAGGTCCAAAAATATATTCATAAATTATACTTAGTGGACCTTTGTATTTCCACCATTTCACTACTTTTATTATGGTAGTGGGCTTTTCCCAAGAGTCACTATACATTTACCACTTCTCGAAATATAACTACTGACATCTCTCATTCTTCGTTTATCTGGAAATTCGAAATAATTTTTCAACAAAATTATCATTCCCATGATGTTTTCGTAGTGGTTACCATTTTATCTCAATTGTCTTCATCAATACCTTTCACAATCTAGCACATCATAAATGTGTTACCATTTCTACTCCTTTCAAATTCAAGAGAAGTAGGCGATCATCCTATTGATACATAGGACATATGTAAACAAGGAGAAATGCATATGCATCAACCAAAAGTGCTCAGTAAGCATATATAACCAATTAATAATTATATTATCTAAATTTTTCTGTTAGAGGTTATCAAAAACGATGTTGATGTTTTTGCAGGGAACAAGTGGATAGTAGGGATGTAAACAATGCAAGAGTAGGCATAGAAGGATGAGTAGGATTCAATGCCAAGATCAAGAAGTCCAACATCTTTGTTGTAACATGCCTTAGTGTTTGCTGAATAATTGGTTAGTAAACCAAGTCTTTAAGAGATGTTACTGTGATATTTTGTTGAGCATTAATTTCTGGAGTTTCTTTTTTCATTTTTTCAGTTAAGATTTAGCTCTTTATAAAAGTAGTACCATGATTGTAATGAGTGTGCTTATTATAGCTATAAATTTAAGTTTTGTGTTTCTTTGCCTTTGATATATTTTTTCAATTTGTCTTTTGTTTTATACTTCCTTATATTATAACAACAAACTAGATATTAACTCGTTCGATTGTGCAGGTTTATAAATAAATGTATATAATATAATTTGAAGATGTTAAAAATATTTAAAAAAATAATATAAATTTTGTGAATTATTAAAAATAAATAATTGTAGAATAGTTATTGAATTTATAGGTAAAAATAATATTTATTTGTCAATATTATATTAATTATATATAATATATATATATATATATACGATACAATTTAGAGAGATTCAAAATATCAGAAAAATGTAATTTCATATAAAATTGTAAAATAAATAATTGTAAAATTTTGTTGAAATTATACGTAGAAAACTTATATTTTAAAAAATTTATATAAATTATACAAATTGTAAATTAATGTTTGCTAAAACATTAAATTAAAAAAATATTTTGTAAATCATGCATAGATAAATAAATACTACCATTTAGGACACATAGATAAATAAAATTGAAATAATTATTTTATTAAAATACTACTATTTAATAAAAACAAAATAATTTCTTCATCATTCTTTCTAATAGTCAAAGTTATATTTTTTTAAATGTACTTAAATTAAAAGTCTCGTGAATAACCATTCAGTATAGTTTAAACTCATCTGTTAAAGAAATAAATACAGTAATAACTAATATTTTAAAAAAATTATAATAATGGCATTTGAACTTTAAAAAATGACACAAACTTAAAAAATATTATTACATTTAATTATGTGAAAATATCAAATATTATAATATTTTTAAATATCTATTTTTTTAAAAATAAAAGGTGGGTGATGCATCATTATAGATCCAAAACATTTTAATAACATTGACATTACAAGGACTATCAATCATTTACAGTATGTTCAATAAAAATTATCATAAAATAAAAAAGACAAAGTGCGGGGGACTAGACTAAAACTCACAAGGGAATTTAGCAAAAATGAAAGGACGAGAAATTACAATATCACTAGAACAAATAAGAAGAACATTTCACTAGATAAAATCAGCTCTAAAAGAAAGGTCAAGAACAATCAATTGATTAACACATTGGTTACCTTTCCTGTAAATGTATAAAGAAAAAAAAATGTAGAGATGTCAACAAGTAAAGACATCTACGCCATCTTCCTCTTAAAGGCCAAAGAATAGTTTTTGCATTAGACAAAGCAAGCAAGAGAAGCTTAGAATCACTGTTGAGACATAAATTAAACCACCCCTATCATAAGTTGTTTCAATAGCAATCATAATCACCACTACTTCAACATAAAAACAAGTTTTGATACCAATGTAGGTAGAGAATCCACCAAAAAATTTACCTCTAGAATTTCTAAATATTTTACCACCAGCCACATGTCTTGGACAACCAATAATGCACACCATCGTTACATTTGACAAAACCACTAGTCGAAGTATGTTAGTCAACCTATATGATCTGAGGAGGCTTGGGAGGATGAATAATGTAGGAAAGCTATTTAAGCAAATGTACATTTTCCAAAGAATGAAAAAGACAACTATTTACCAAAGTACTGGATAGCAAAATAGCTTATTGAATCAACACAATGGCCTTCTCCACAAGAATATAGATATTATTAAAACAAACTTGGTTTTGACAATGTCAAATTGTCCAAATTACTTGCACAAAAGTAGTAGCACTAGTGCAAAAAAGGGTATTTACGTCACCCAATTTACGTCGCAAACCACAAATACCGACGTTGTAAAAATGCGGTGGCAGTTTCGTAAATAAGTGGAGACTAATTTACGTCGGACCCCTGGTAGACCGACATAAATTAGGTAATTTACGTCGGGCCCCTCTATTCCAACGTAAATTTACGTCGGGCCCCCCTAGTCTGACGTAAATTTACGTCGGACCCCCCCAAGGCCGACGTAAATTTACGTCTTAGCAGCATAATCCGATGTAATAGTTTCACTATATTCCCCCAACTTACCATTTTCCATTCCCGCGCTCACCGTTTATACGAAATCCTCAGAATTTCTGAGTCTCCCACTTCGTTTATTGCTACATTCAACGTATCCAAGTCTCTAAGTGTCTTAAGTGTCTGCACGTTGGTCGTTTGAGGTTAGTTTGTTGTCCACGTAATTTTTTTGTTTTTTTTTGCTATTTGTTCCTCTGGAACGGCCCGTTCTGCATGGAGAACGGCCTGTTCTCCTTGCAGAACGGGTCGTTCTCCTAGGAGAACGGGTCGTTCTCCTTGCAGAACGGGCCGTTCTCCTTGCAGAACGGCCTGTTCTGCTTAAATTATTGGCTTCGTAAATTGTTGATCTGGAACGGCCCGTTCTGATTTCGGTACGGGCTGTTCCAGATGCATTAATTATTGGCTTCTGGTCTGGTATGAAGAGGGAGATAGCTGAGTATGTGGCGGTCTGTTTGCCCTGTCAGAAGGCAAAGGTTGAGCATCAGAAGCCGAGTGGGTTAATGCAGCTGATGGAAATTCCGGAATGGAAGTGGGATAGCATTACTATGGATTTCATTGTGGGGTTGCCTAGGTCCGCTAGGAATAGTGATGCTATCTGGGTAATTGTTGATCGGTTGACCAAGTGTGCGCATTTCTTGCCTGTCAACATGAAGTGGTCCTTAGAGAAGCTGACACAGTTGTATGTGAGGGAGATAGTACGGTTGCACGGGGTGCCTTCCAGTATTATTTCCGACCGAGATCCGAGGTTCACTTCCAGATTCTGGCAGAGTCTACACCAAGCTTTAGGCACAAAGCTGAAG